CTAATATGGTCATATGGGCTCGCATTTGTCTCCTCTCTTAAAGGAGCAGGCACACTGTGGGGCTAGCAGGTGCAGAAGCAAAATTTAAGCTAACCTCCAAGTGCCAATCATCCCTCCTTCCCCAGAAACCACCCCACGATTTCACCAACCTTCCCCAGTTCATGTCCACTCCACATTCTCAGTTTCTTCTAATCCTTCCACTCCCCACCCCAAACGACCTCACAGCAGCTCACCACCCCTGCATTCAGGTTTCTTCTCAGCTTCCTTTTCATTCTTTTTCTCGTTGCTAACTCTTTAAATAGTTTATTTATTATTCATACGTGCATATAATGTGTTTGGGTCTAATCTACCTCCCGCTCCCTCCCTTACAACTTCTCCCCCTCATTTTCCAGTCAGCTATCTTCATATTTTTTAGAGACAATGTCTTATTTAAGAGTCATTTCTCTCCTACTACCTTATAGATCTCTTGGATCAAACCAAGGTCTTCAGTCTTCACAGCAATCACCTCTACCCCAGGAGCCACCTGATCAGACCCAGGAGCTCACTCTCTAGCCCATACTGGCCCAAAACTCACTGATCTTGATCTACAGGCAATCCTCCTACCTTAAGTTGCAGCTGAGACTGTGGATGTGAAATGACCCATGAGAGAGAGTTCTTGATGATCACACTAAGGAAGCCAATTCAAAGTGTGTAACTCCTTTAATTAGACAGCAGCCAAAATCAGGGATCATGCCTCAAAGTCTCTTAATTGGCAAAGCTCAGGGTTACAATACTTTTTAATGACAAATATCACAATCAGTATCTTTGCAGAGATCAATGATATTTTCCAGATACCACATGGCAATTATTTCTAATTTACACTTCCTTGTAGTTATTTTAGTTTTATAGTGTAGCCTACACAAACACCAATTATTCTAGTTCATACATCTGGACCATAGTCAGAGTCATGAATAGTCCCAAAGCATTCCAAGGTGTATGGGGTTATGCTGGGGGTGACAGTGAAGTCTGAGAAGTGTCTAGACACAAAATAGAATCAGGACAAGATGGCATCACCATGACCATTTAATCACCATGCCTACTTTCTGCTTTCTTTTGTCAGCATTCATTGAAAACTTTATTTTGTTATAATTTTTATTCTTAAGAATTTCATATATGAATATGATGAAGTATGGCCATATTGATGGGGAACAGATGAAGTCCTGAGTGAATGTGTGTGATTGACATGAACACTGCTATGTCAAGGACCCAATAACTCAGATCCATGGAAATGGCAAAGCCTTCCCCAGGAAAGGCTCAAAGTGTTGGCAAAGACTTCCTCTCATGTAAGAGTATTTACAAATTATTTGACCAGCATGGGCAAAAGCTGGCAGCCCCAGCTTCCTCTTCCATGATGACTACAACCTTATATTTCTCCCTTACACAGATCTCTCACTGAGGATACTTAACCCCTCCTTGAGCTGTACATAATAACCAAAAGTAGTTGGAGCACTCCATCAATGTTATTGGTGGTAAGAGAGTAGACCAGTCATAGAGGCAGAAACATAAGAGATAATAGGGAGAGAATATGAGCAAAGTACAATGGTATATATTGTGAAAATGTCATAATAAAGCATACTAGTTTATATGTTAATTAAAACTTAGTAATAAAAAATAAAATGGAAAAAGACTTGGATTTTGTCTTCAAGAAGATATAAAATTCCTAGCAAGTATACAGAAAGATGTTTGGAATCACTAACCATCTTATAAATGTTAACAAAGCCACCATGAGACATCACCTCACACCTGTTAGAATGTCCATCACCTAAGAGGACAGGTGACAAAGGGTTGACAAGATGTGTGGAGAATAGGGAATCTTTGTATACTGTTGAAGGGAATATAAATTGGTGCTGCCTTTAAAGGAAGCAGTATGGAGGTTCTTAAGTAAATTTGAAAAGACCTGTCTACTGTGTTACCCAAATCACCTCTTCTTCTGTGTGCACAAATTAAATAACATCACCACCTCATAAAGATTCTTGCACCCCATGTTTGTTTCAGCATTGTTCACCAGACCAAGTGAAGGCAAGAATTCTGGTGCCTGTAGGTCCCTTAAGCAAACATGTGTGTAAACCACCTGGAAACCCAAAGTTTCACATTTGCCCTAGCAGGTTACTACCTCCTCACCTTTTCTGGTGGCTGTGATAAAGCTGAGTTGAAGAAGAGAGGGTGTCCTAGTTGCTTTTTCTGTTTTGCTGATAAAACACACTGACAAAAAGCAACTCAAGGGACAACCCAATGTTATAGTCCATTGCAGTAAGTAGTGGTGGCAGGATCCTGAGGTACCTGTGTAAAGGGAAGCCTTTTCCTTGCTAGCTGCTTTGGTTTATTACCCGCCAGTCGCCTGGGCTCTGCCGAGTTATAGTCCCCAAATAAACACACAAGACGCTGTATTAATTATGAAGCTGTTGGCCTTGCTTGTTTCTTACTGGCTAGCTCTGACTTAAGTATTTACCCCATAATTGTTAATCTATGTATTTCTCTTACCGGAGACGTTCCGGGCTTCCTACCCCATGGCGGTTACATCTTGAATTCTCGTGTTTCTCCGTACCAGAATCCTCCTGGACTCCTAGTCCCTCCTATCTAGATTCCTATTGGCTCAACAGTGCTTTATTAACAAAAGACTTCCCCAACATACCTGACATATTGTACCCACAATCAAAAAGAAGAAAGTGATAAAAGGACAAAAATGGTATGTACTCACTCATACATGAATTTTAGACATAGAGCAAAGGAATACCAGCCTACAATCCACACTGCCAGAGAAACTATGAAACAAGGAGGACACTAACAGAGACATGCATGGTCCCCCAGAGAAGGGGAAAGGGACAAGATCTCCTGAGCTAATTGGGAGAATGGGGAGAGGTGAGAGGGAGTTAGAAGAAAGAGAAGGGGAGAAGGGGAGGAGAGGAGGACAGGAGAAAGCAGAAAGATCAAGTCTGGGGAAGAATAAAGGAGTGCAAGAAAAGAGATACCATAATAAAGAGAGCCATTATAGGTTTAAAGAGAAATTTGGCACTAGGGAAATGTCCAGAGGTCTGCATGGTTGACCCCAACTAACTATCTAAGCAATAGTTGAGAGGCTACCTTAAACGTCCTTCTCTGATAATGAAATTGATGACTACCTTATATGCTATACTAGAGCCTTCATCCAGTAGCAGATGGAAGCAGAGGCAGACACCCACAGCTAAACACTGAGCTGAACTCCTAGAATCCAGTTGCAGAGAGGGAGGAGTTATGAGCAGAGGGGTCAACATCAGTCTGAAGAAACCCACAGAAACAGCTGACCTGAACAAGGGGGACCTCATGGACTCCAGACAAACAGCTGGGAAACCAGAATAGGATTGTTCCAGACCCCTGATCAAGGATGTCAGTTGGGAGGTCTGGTTAATCTATGAGGCCTCTGGTAGTGGATCAGTATTTATCCCTAGTATATGAATGGAATTCAGGAGCCCACTCCATGTATAGGGATACTCTCTCAGCCTGGGCACACGGGGGAAGGTCTGGGCCCTGCTCCAAATGATATGAGAGACTTTGAAGACCCCCCCTCATGGAAGGCCTCACTCTCACTGGAGAGCAGAAAGGGGATGGGATAGGGTGTCTGGGGGGGCAGGGGAGGAGGGGAGGGAGAGGGAACTGGGATTGACATGTAAAAGAAGCTTGTTTCTAAATTAAATTTAAAAAGGGGGGGAAAGGGAAGGAAGTGATGAATAGTTGTGTTCAATAGACTATCTCCTTTTTATATAGTCTATAATCTCAACCCAGAAGATGTAGTGGGCAGGTCATTCCATCACAATCAACCTAACTAAAATCATAGCTTACACACATGCTCAGAGGCCGGTCTCTCAGGAGACTATATCTCATCAAGTTGACAATTGAGAGTAATCATTACCAAAGCTTTATATTGACTTAGTTTAAGGTGTTGTCCATCACAAATGTGAGGATAGAGTGGACATAGTGCCTCTAGATATACTGGCGGGAGCATAGTACAGCTGGTAATTCTGCATTCATAGCAGGGGAGCAGAGAGAGGTCAGTGAATAATGATGCCATGCTTACTTTCTCCTTTCTACTCAACATGAGTCCCAAGCCCACAAAATAATATCACCTATATTCAGAGTATGTCTTTCTGCTTTTGGTAAATATCTCTGGAACAGATCTGAAAGATGCACCTACAGGTTTTGTCTCCCAGGTGATTCTAAAACACATCAACTTCACGGCTGAGGTTAAGGATCACACTGTTGAGGTGTTCTGCGTCACAAATCATCAGAGGTCGAAATTGCTCAGCTTGCCTCTTTCAGTAGATTATGGGAACTGTGTCTTACTAAGTTAACATGAGCTCAAGAAAATTGTCACCTGCACATGTCTGTAGGCAGAGTTTTCATGTTCTGACCACCTACTCCCAAATAACCAACAGTTACTTCCCAAATAACTAACTCAGAGACTTAATATAATTTATAAATGTTCAGCTGATAGCTCAGGCGTGTTACTAACTAGCTCTTACAGCTTAATCCATTTCTATTTATCTACGTGCTGTCCCAGGGATCATGGTGATTACCTTTATCCCATTTTGTATGCCCTTCTCATTCTCCATCTGCCTGGCAACTCTTCTGACTCTGCCCTTCCTCATTCTATCATTCTCAATTTGGCTTTCCCACCCAACTTTATCCTGTTCAGCTATTGGCCAGTCAGTTTGTTTCTTAAACCAATCATAGAGATGTATATGCACACAGTGTGCAGAAGGATTATCCCACAGCACACCTCTGACAGGTATACCAGTCAGCGAGCAAATCACAAGGGATAAGAAGTTTGCTGAGCAATGTTTATGAGCTCCAGAGTTCCTTCACCATGAACAAGCTTCTCTACACTTGAGTCCGTTGGAGCTCTGTGCCAATGGTTTAAGTTGGAAAACGTGAGAAGCATCATTTACAGAGGCACCCTGTGCTGAAGAAATGCCTGCACACCTAGCTCTGAGTCTCCTCTTGGGACAATGTAAGGCTGGCATATACACAAGTCTGTGTGGATGTGTCCTGAAGAGCATTGGAGGGAATGGGATCCAGGTGCTCTGTGAAGTTGTGTTGGCGTAGTTGGGCATACGTCACCTCCTGTGAGCGTTCTGCTGCAGACACCTGCCATCAGGAGACACAAAGTAAGAAGACAATACCCAGATGGTATTCTGGGAAAGGAGGGCAGGGAAGTGGGGAGGGTTCACCTGTGTGTCCACCTTCCTACAGTCCTCAGGCTGACTGCCCTCCAAGTCACCATCTGGAAGGAAAGGTGAGAAAGTGGGCATGTTTCACACGAGTTTTTAAACTATATCGTTTTGTGTTCTGTATTTCAGAGATAACCTACATAACCCGAGAAAAAGACAGGAACATTTCCCACCTCTTCTGCTCTCCCCTGAAGGCCTCCTAAGCCCTACAAGCATCCCTTTTCTCAGTGAGGCTCACTCCACCTTACATTTATGTTTTCCCTCCATGTCCATGGTTGGGCTGGACCTGAGTGAAAAGAAGTGGAAATGTTAAAGTATGCCTGAAAAGTACACAGATGGAATTTTCAATTGTGTGTGTAGCTCAATCGTAGAGTACTTGTCAAGCATGTAGGCCCTGCCTTCAATCCCCAGTACACAGACAAAAATCTTAGATGGAGATGGAGGGATGTATTTATTGGGAGAGCCCAAATTTACCTACCTCTTATATTTCACTTGGCTTCTGGTCTCACCATTGGTGGCCCCTACAGAGAGACCAAGATCAGTCTTAGAACCCACCATGCCCCATACACCCCTCCCAGATTAATAACCCCCACTGACTCTTGGGACATACTGCATTTGGTCCAAAGGCAATAGAGGCAGGTGAGGAGGAGGAAGAGGAGGAAGAGAAAGCCAACAGCAGCAACTGAGATCCAAACCACAGTGTGGTCAGATGTACCTAGAATTAGAAAACAATAGTGATCTGTTATTAAATGTCAGTTACATTAAGTCACTCATTCAATCAAACATTTATATGATCTGAAGACCAAACGCAGAACTAAGCATTCAGGAAACTATAGGAAACATCTGCAACAAAATAATTAAAACAGCCAATTCAAGCATTTGACCACATAGTCTTTTAAACACAAAGTTTTACTATGTAGCCCAGGATGACTTCAAACTTGAGATCTTCTTGCCTTCCACTCCAAAAAGCTGGGATCATAGGCAGGCACCAGCACACCCAACTGATGAGACAAATTAAATACAATACCAAAGAAAATTCATTTGAGAAAGTGGTTCTTAAAAGATAAGAAACACCCAGCCCTCTCAGGCTCAAGGAGAGCTCTTCCCAGATAGTCTACAATGAACATTCACTAATCTTGATCAGGAGCCTGAGTGAACCACATATAGAATGGACAATCAGGAGATGGCAGGGGAGGGTGCTTTCTAATAAAGATTAGAGATCAAAAGAGATATACAACAGTCAGAAACTGAAAAACATTGCAAGCTACAAAGGCAAGTCTAAATGAAATAACACCAACTTAGTGATTGGCATACAGTAACTAATGAACTGTGTCTTGTTTTAAAGGAACAGAGCCTCTTAACAAATGCTAGAAAACTCTGAGTCGACATGGCAGAGACTTACACTAGTCACAGCAGCCAGGAAATTGAAGGAGGCCAGCTTAGATGTCCATCCACACATGAACAAAGAAGATGTAGTGCATAGACAGAGTGGAACTTTGTGTAACTGGAGAGAAAACTGATATCATGGCATCCATAAGAAAATGGATGAAACTGGAAATTGTTAGATTATACCAAGTAAGCCCAACTCTGGGGGGATAATAACACATAATTTCACTCATATATGAAATTTCCATTTAAAATATGTGAGGGGTGTGTGTGTGTGTGTGTGTGTGTGTGTGTGTGTGTGTGTGTGGTGTTGAAACTAAGAAGGGAATCATGAAAAAGAGAACTCAAGATAGGTAAGAAATTGGAAGTGTAGGGGCTGGAGAGATGGCTCAGAGGTTAAGAACACTGACTGCTCTTCCAGAGGTCCTGAGTTCAGTTCCCAGCAACCACATGGTGGCTCACAACCATCTGTAATGAGATCTGGTGCCCTCTTCGGTATGTGCAGACATACATGGAGGCAGGATGTTGTGTTCATAATAAATAAATAAATCTTTAAAAAAAAAAGAAATTGGAAGTGCAATGAAATTATGTAATAAGTTGGAGGAGAAAAAGCAGGAGTAATAATAACACATATGGCCTTGAACAGAGATGTCTGTGTGTGCACCATCACAACTAGCCTGAAATTTTAATTTACAAGTTAATTAAGCCAGTCAGTAGGTGATGAATGCCTTTAATCCTAGCACTTGAGAGGCAGAGGCAGGTAGATCCCTATAAACTGGAGCCCAACCTGGTCTACAGAATGAGATCCAGGACAAACATGGTTACACAGAGAAACCTGTCTCAAAAGAACAAAAGAAAAATCATTTGGTTAAAAACAAAGCAGGCAGCCGGGCGGTGGTGGCGCACGCCTTTAATCCCAGCACTTGGGAGGCAGAGGCAGGCAGATCCCTGTGAGTTCGAGTCTGGGCTGGACCGACAGCCTCCAAAACAATACAGAGAAACCCTGTCTCGTAAAAAACAAAAACAAAAAAAAAGAAGGCAAAGGAAGTGGCGATAGGGTGGGAGGCTGGGGGGGGATGGTGAGGGGGTGCAGAAGGAGGGGAGGGAGAGGGAACTGGGAATGACATGTGAATCAAGCTATTTAAAATTAAAATAATAAAAAAAACAAAGGCAATAGACACATGGGGTAGGGCCTAGGCCCTGCCCAAAATAATGTGACAGACTTTGATGATTCCCCATGGAAGGTATCCCACACCCTGAGGAGCAGAAGAGGGAGGGGATGGGGGATTGGTGGGGGTCATGGGAGGATGGAAGGGAGAGGGAAGTAGGATTGATATGCAAGATGGGATTGTTTCTAATTTAAATAAAAATGAAAAAACAAAGAGGGAAAAAAGCCTGGTGAGATGGCTCAGTGGATAAGCACACTCACTTTATAAGCCTGAGAGTCTGAGTTCAAATCTCCAACATCCACACACATAGAAGCATAGCTGTATATGCTTGTAGCCTCAACACTGAGGAGTGGAGACAGGAGAGTCTCAAGAGTTCGGTGGCCAGTCACACACTAGGCTGAACTCTAGGAGTCTTTCTGAAGAAAGGGAGAAGGGATCTTAAGAACCAGTGGCAGGGGATTCAAGATAATAATGGGGAACCCACAAGACAGCTGACCTGAGCTCATGGGAGCTCATGGACTCTGGACCGTTAGGGAGACGTCAAGGGACCAACCTAAGCCATTGGCATGTGTGTGACAGCTGTGTCGTTTGGTCTGTTTGTAGGACTCCTACTAGTGAGATCAAGACCTGTCCCTGGCACTTAGCTGGCTTTTGGGAATCTGTCCACATGTTGGATTACCTAACCTAGTCTTGATGCAGAGGGACAGGGAGAGGAACTGGTCCTGCCTCAATTTGATGTGCATTGTTCAAGCCCACAGGAGGCCAGCACCTTTCTGAATGGAGATGGAGGAGGAGTAGGTGAGGAGAGGGGTAGATGGGAGGGGGATACAGGAAGATAGGAGGGATGGGAAACTGTGGTCAGTATGTAAAGTAAATGAAAAATGTTAATTTTAAAGAAAGAGTTCAGGGGTCAGCCAGCCAGCATAACCAAAAGAGTAAGCTGCAGGTTTGGTTGATAGATGCTATCTCAAAGACATAAGGCGGAGGGTAGGATGGTAGAGGAAGACACCTGACACCTCGCTCTGACTTCCGCATGTGTGCATACAACCACACCCTCGTGTACATGCAACACACACCACTCACGTTTAAAAAGAAGAGAGGACAAAAGCAGAAGTGTGGCCTAATTACAGGGAGAAGGACGAACAGTTGGCAGCAGAGAAGGGACATGGGAGGGGGCAGAGAGGGATGGGAACAATGACAACAAAGCACAATGGCACATGTGTAAAGATACGTGAATAAAGTCTATTAGTGCATGTGTCCGCATAGAATAACTCTTCTTCTACTGATGGCACTGATTGGCAGCATGACAGGATCTACCCAAGAGGCAAGCTTCTGTGAGGGGTAGCCTAGATTCAACTAGTCTCTAGCCAAGCCGGTGAGAGAACATACTAATTAGAGTATCTGAGGTGGGAACACCCACCCTAAAGGTGAGAAACACCATTCCCTCAGCTCAGATCACTGCATTAAAAAGGAGAGAGGTAGCTGAGCTGAAGCAGCCATCTCTCTCTCTCTCTCTCTCTCTCTCTCTCTCTCTCTCTCTCTCTCTCTCTCTGCTTCTTAAAGACTGCTGCAGTGTGGCCAACTGCCTCAAGTTCCTGCCATCATGCCTTCCCCACCATGATAATGCAACTCAAGTGCCCCAAACTATGCAGTGAAGCAAACCATCACTTCCTGACGCTTCTTCAGTCACTTGCTTCATTTCAGCAATAAATGGGGGTAACAAGAACAGTAGTATAGATAAAAGATGGGAATTTACTCAGCCAGAAAGATAGACTGACTGATGTAATTTCCAGAACATAGAGGAAAACATGGGTCCTCATACTGAGCAAAATAAATCAGATTCAAACAGTATGTGTTTAATCGCCAATGTGGAATATGGATAGACAGACAGACAGACACACACACACACACACACACACACACACACACATACGTGCACGCGTGCATGTGCACATACGTGGATGGATACATACATAGATGAAGAATACATACATAGATTGATACATAGAAAATAGACAGATGATATAGATAGATGATAGATAGATAGATAGATAGATAGATAGATAGATAGATAGATGAGAGACAGACAGACAGATAGATGTGCAGATGTATATACATATCTATGACATAAAAGTAGGAAAAAGACTAGGTAAGAATAGAAGACTGGTGTCAGTGAGGACACAGACAAAAGAGTAATGGAGGCAAATTTGGTCATAGTACAGGATCTACCTCAAGAAAATGTCATTATGAAACCCATCACTTTGTGCAATGCATAGAAACTTTCATAAATGTTTAGTGTGAGCTTTCTACATGATGAATGGACATAAAGTACTGGGTGGAAAGACAGTAAGGTGGCTGGATGAAAGGAGATCTTGGTGTGACAAAAAGGACTTAAGAAGTTACAGGAGCCGGGCGGTGGTGGCGCACGCCTTTAATCCCAGCACTCTGGAGGCAGAGGCAGTCGGATCTCTGTGGGTTCGAGGCCGGGCTGGACCGATAGCCTCTGAAACAATACAGAGAAACCCTGTCTCGTAAAAACCAAAAAAAAAGAAGTTACAGGACTTGAAAATGTTTTCAGGACACACAAAAATGGTTTGATGATGATCCATGTGAGAACTAACAGTAAAGGATGATCCCTGAGGAATTCTGTTCAAAAGACACAGATGGACTCTGTCAGCACAGGACAGGTGTGAAGAGGATGCATGGATGCTTTTAAACTGAAGGCTCTGTTGAGATGTGTTAAATGTCTGCGAAGATAAATTTCAAGTATCCCATTGGATATATACTTCTGAAGGTCATAGAGGATTTCTTGGCTGCAGCAATAAAATTAAAATCATTCAACAAATGTTGCATAGATGTGGGTGCCTATTTATGTGCAGCCCCCAATATGTACCACCTGCTCACATAAAAACTCACCATGTGCCATGCCCACCTCTATTCTACATGGGATTTCTTCCTTCTGCCTCCTCATGTCCACCTTACCAACTCTGGCACCTGTGCAGTTGATGTCTACTATCCCAAGTTTTCTTTCTCAAGGATGTCCCCAAGTTGAATTTCCATGGCCCTGCCCACTTTGTTCCCCAAACATGCCCAAATGACCAGAGGTCCTAAGATATAAAGAAATAAGTCTCCTCCATAAAGAAATCTGGCACTGCTGTTTCTGAGTTCTCTTCTGTTAATGTTTCCTACATTCTCCACTGGACTAATGGACTGATGGTTGTTCAGAAAAAAAGGAGGGTAGAGATGATGTGTTGTATCATAATATAAAAGGCAAAGAGGAAACATGATGATCTCTTAAGACCTAAAAAACGATGATTGAAAAACTCATGATCAATGGGGAAACTAACAGATATTCTTTCAATTTTCCATCACCATTGGCTAGTGATGTACTGGTCTCACACACAACTCAGAAAGAAACGTTGGAGGATAACAGTCATCACTCAAGTGGTACACCATCTTTCACAATGGTTCCCATTACTGATAGGTGAATACCTCTACTCTCCAGATAAATACACTTGCAACTGCCCCCAAAATAATGAAATTGACACATAAATTTCAGAGTCCCTAATGGAAATGGAGCAATTACAGTCAGAATAGCAGTGCAGTGAGAAACACATAGCACACAGAAGACTAGCAGTGGAACTGACATATTCCACATGGCATCTGTTGAGGCCTCTCTAAGCACAGAGACAAGGAAAAAGAACCAGACATACTTACCCGGGATTGACAACTCAAGGGGATCACTAGGCAGTGACCACAAGTAGGGACTGTGTTTGTAAGAGCCAAAGCATCTGTAGGTACTCCGGTGCCCTGGGCTCACAGGGGAGATGAGGAATGTGCTGTGGGACTGACGTGAACAGTTCAGGGGAAAGGAGGCATTTCCACCTCTGCAGAGGATGAAGGTGTGAAAGGAATGAGGTGTGTGACAGAGGAGAGTCACATTTCTTTCTGAGAATCCCTGAGGTCCTGCATCCACAGTAAGGGATGGCTTCTCCTTGTAAACACCTGGAAGTAAAAGACCCCGCTATTACTTGGTCATGGTGACACAGGCTTTTAAATCAAATACTTGGGAGGAAGAGGCAGATGGAGCTTTGTGATCTTAAAAACAACCTGCTCTATAACCAGGTTTCCAAGCCAAACAGAGTCACATATGAGACCCTGTTTCAAAAAAAACTCCTGTATTTATTAGTTAAGGCCTCTATTGCGGTGATGAAATACCATGACAAAAATCAAGTTAGGGAGGAAAGGGTTTATTGGCTTACATTTCAACATTGCTTTTCATCACTGACAAAGTCAGAACAGGAACTCAAACATGGTAGGATCCTAAAGTCAGAAGCTGATGCAGAGGCCATGGAGAGGTACTTCAAACTGGCTTGCTTCCCATGGCTTACTCTGACCGCATTCTTATCAAGCCCAGGACCACCGTATCAAGCATGGCACCACCAGCCACCATAGTCTGGACTCTTCCCCATTAATCACTACTTGAGAACATGCATTGCAGCTGGATCTCATGGAGGCTTTTCCTCAGCTGGGACTCCTTCCTCTGTGGTGATTCTACATTGTGTCAAATTGACAAAACTCTGGATAGTACAGCTGTGTTATTTTTACTGTGATTAAAAATAAGCCTCCAATTCAGAGTCCGACCACAGGGAAAGAAGACAAAAGTAAACTCATCTATTGCTAATCTATAGGGGTCCACAAAACATGGTTCAATTATTTACCAATGAACCAGTAACATAGAGAGGCTCTAAGTATGTATAGAAGGCTAATGTCAGATCCCATGAACTCCATCACTTAGGGGCTAAAGTCCCATTTCTGAAGGGAGCCCAGAACATTTTCAGAACAGAGTGAGAGTCAAAAAACAAGCAGAAGCTCTAGGATTGAATCTTATTTAGTGAAGTTCTTGCCTAATATACACAATGCACTGTGTTCTCTATTCATCACTATATGAATGGAGTCATTGTCCAGGTCAGTAATGCTAGGACTAGGAAACTAGAAGAGGAGGGATCATTAATTCAAGATTATGTTTGGCTACAAGTTTAAGGCCAGTATGAAATGCGTGAGAACATGTCTCAAAGAAACCAGTAAAATAATGAAAATTGAAAAAGGAGAGGATGAAATGAGAGAAGAAGAGACAAGAGAAGAGGAGCAGAGATGGGAGGAGAGGAGAGGAGGGGAGGACAGAAAAGGGTGAGAGGAGAAGGGAGAGGAAAGGAAGAGATGAGAGATGAGGAGAGGAGAAGGGAAAGGAGAGAAGAGAGGAGAAGAGAGTAGAGGACAGCAGGGAAGGGGACAGGAGGGGAAAGGAGAGAAGATGGAAGATGTTAATATATGGGAGCAGAGATACAGGGCAGGACCTGTGATGGGTTGTATGTGTTCAGTGAAATAGACATCAGAGACCGATGCTGAAGAAGAGTGTTCTTGGGCAGTTACTCACCTGTCACCATCAGCTCCAGTTTGTCATGACATAGTGACCATTCACCTCGATTGCTGTATTCACAGTAGTAAATCCCTGCATTCATGTGTGTCATATCCTGAAGACTGAATTCAAACACCTCCTGGGCTCCCTGTGGGGTATGGTCAAGCCATTTGCCTTTGGGTACATGATGGTTTAGACGCACTGTGGTCATCCCTGGAGGGGTCCTGCAGAAGATGCTCACATCACTGCCTGTGGAAATCACAGCTCCCGGAACTGCCCAGATGGAAGGTTGGGATGGTAGCCCTGCAGAGATATAGGAAAAAAGTGCTAGTCATCTAATGTCAGGAGAAATGGGATCCCAAGGTGTAATATACTAGCCCACAACAATAACTAATCAAGAGAATACCCCACAGACATGCCCATAGGCCAACAAGGGGGGGGGGGTTCTCAGCTGATGAACCTTGTTCCCAGATCACTCTACCCTCTAACTTGTGTCATGTTGAAAGAAAAGTAAACAGCTCACATCCAAAGTGAAGTCTCATCATTTTCAGAATTAAGTTCCTGGCATATTTCCAAATACCTAATCATCTTCACTCTTCCCAAATGATGTAAGAATAACACTCATACATTTGTGATATCAACCAGCCGGGGAATAAACCCTGTGGGTTTCCATTCCTGTCACCCTCTGCCTTGGCCCCATCAGCAGGAAACCCCAATAAATCACTAACCTATGTCTGACTTTGACTCTTGCTTCCATGTAAAACCTGAGCTCTATTCTATCTCCAGTATGGCACACAGCCTGGGAGCCTCTGAAAATAAATGAATCCCATCTGTTCCACATGCACATTAGACAGCACTTATTCACCTCTATCTCATGGAGCTTTCAACTTCCCAAGAACAGATCTCAGTAAGAGTGCCAGACATAGCCAAGGTGAGATGAGATGGGAGATTTAAAAGAAAACAAATTTGACACCAAGTGTCTGTATCCTCAGGAGGGAACACGTGTCTGCAGGTTCCTCCTCCTCAGCGCCATTTGTTTCAATACCCATCAAAGACAGATAACAAGTAGGCATTACTAGCACTTGGTGGAGAATATCACCCAAAACATAGCTGAAATAGCAAGAACTAATCATTGAGTAGGTGTGCCAGTGGCTGTCAATGAAAATCCTATCTCAATATCCGCTAAAGATGCTTCAAGCTTTTCCCAGGCAAACTCAGTTTCCCTCAGATAAAACAGAAAACAGACTAACCATATTGTGCCCAGATCTTCTCCATTGAAAACACTGAAAATAGAGCAAATGGCCTAATAAGAGAAGTCTATCCTGTATTATACTGATCCGAATGCCAGAGCTCAGAACAAAAGACCACAGCCAGATGCACAGGTTGAGGCCAGGGAAAACTCCTCTGCATTCACTGGCTACATCTTGATAAAGGAAGAGTTCTGTGAGATAAGCACAGATTACAAAATCAGAAAATCTGCATTCCTTATCCCCGGACTAAAAAATAATGACCCACGTCTCACTTACCAAGTCCGAGAATTACAGCTCCAGTGTCTCATGCCAGTTCTCCACATAACAGCACACAGAACCAGTGACACAGGTCACACAGAGGGACACACCCATGAGAATGAGCAGGCTGAGGGAAGGGATGGTGACATCCAAGACAAAAGAGAAAGAGGATGTGTTCTAGCACAAAATCTGTCTCTGACTTCACTCTACCACACAGCTCTAAGCTGAGCAACAGTTCCTCAATGCACCTATAATTCTGGCTTTAAATTCTCAACAATACAATTTAAAGGGGTAGGGGAGATGCTGTTCCCTGGCATCCCCATCTCTGATGTAGGAGACTTGTAGCCAATATTTCAGGGATATGCATTAGGATGCAGCAAGACAACACGAGGCACAAATTCATAATCTACTGGAAGGTTAGACTCTTTTGATGGGACACAGGCAGACACCAAATCTGAAAACATGGATATGGAAGGACGGTGACTAGTAAAGATACTGGGGACCAGTGATTATATAGTATGTGGATGATCCCAGTAATTTCCCCTAACCAAATAACTACATAGCCAAGTCCCTACATTCAACTGACATAACAAAGACAAAAATTAAAAACAGATGGTGGAACTAAACAGAGAAAACTCAGAACAGGAAATACACATAGCCAAGAAATACATATTCAGAAGCGGTCACCATCCTGAGCCATCACAGAATTTCAAATTAAAATCTTACTCTAGTCAGAATGACAAATTAAGAAAATAAAAGTTGTTATCCAGTTCTCATGGAGTATGTGCTAGGAAGAGAGGCAGACCTGGAGGTGGGATGGAGGGGGCAGCTGAGGAAAAAGACTGAGGTCTACATATTCTCATTGCCTAGTATACAACACTCGTGCTTAAGCAGACACAGACACAGTACCAAATCTCCTTCTTCAACATGGAATCACCAGGGCTCTGGGTAACAACTAAGGGCTGAGATGAGGCAAGGTTCACTGTCCAGATTAGACCAGTCAGAGGGCCCACAATAACCTGAGATATTTCAAGGGCCCATGTTCATATTGGTGGCATGAAATGCTGCCCAAACCATGATGAATCCTGAGATCCATGTGTACATTTGAAGTCTGTGCCATTGCCTGATGATTTGGTGATGTCATTCAGCTTTTCTTCTTCAGGGAGCCATGACGATGTGAGTGGCATCTGAAATCACCCTAGACCATGTGGAAACTCATAGTCTGTGCAGCCAATGAGGGTCATGACTGTAGTTGTTTAGTGGTGCTGGCAAGAATTAATCACAGAATACAACAAACACTCTGAGAAGTTTATTTTAAAAGGAGAAAAATAGAGTTCAATGAAAATGAAGACACAACACACCCAAACTTATTGGGACACTTTGAAAGCAGTACTAAGAGGAAAGTTCATACCACTAAGTTCCCACAAAGAAACTGGAGAATAGTCACACTAGAGAATCAACAGGACAACTGAAAGCTCTAGAACAGAAAGAAGCAAACTCACCCTGGAGGAGTAGATGCCAGGAAATAATCAAATTGAAAGCTGAAATCAATAAAGTAGAAACTAGGAAAACAATACAAAGAATCAATGCAACAAAGAATCGGTTCTTTGAGAAAATCAACAAAATAGAAAAACCCTTATCCAAACTTACCAAAAGGCAGAGAGTGAACATGCAAATTAACAAAATCAGAAATTAAAAGGGGGACATAAAAATGAGGACAATGAGGAAACCCAGAGAATCATCAGGTCGTACTTTGAAAACCTGTAATCCACAAAATTCGAAAATCTAAAGGAATGGACAATATCCTGGATAGATATCACTTACCAAAATTAATTCAAGAACAGATAAACAATTTAAATAGACCTAGACCCCTAATGAACTAGAAGCAGTCATCAAAAGTCTCCCAACCAAAAAAAAAGCCCAGGGCCAGATGACTTCAGTGAAGAATTCTATCAGAAATTCAAAGAACAGCTAATACCAATTATCCTGAAAGTATTATGCACAATAGAGTCAGAAGGGTCATTGCCAAACTCTTTTTATGAGGCCTCAGTAACCTTGGTCCCCAACCCACACAAAGACACAACTGAGAAAGAGAACTGGCTGGGTGGTGGAGGCACATGCCTTTAATCCCAGCACTCAGGAGGCAGCGGCAGATGCATCTCTGTGAGTTTGAGACCAGCATGGTCTACAGGAGCTAGTTTCAGGATAGCCTCCAAACCCACACAGAAACCCTGTCTCAAAAAAAAAAGAAAAGAAAAAAAGAGAACTACAGAACAATCTCCCTCATGAACAGTGATGAAAAATACTCAATAAAATACTGGCAAATCAAATCCAAGAACACATCAGAAAAATCATCCTCCATGATCAAGTAGATATCTTTCTGCCAGAGATGCAGGGATGGTTCAACATATAAAAATCCATCAATATAATCCACCATATACACAATCTGAGAAACAAAAACCACATGACGATCTCACTAGAGGCCGAAAAAGCCTTTGACAAAATTCAACACCCCTTCATGATAAAGGTCTTGGAAAGATCAGGGATAACAGGAACATACCTAAACATAATAAAGGCAATATACAGAAAACCAACAGCCAATATCAAAATAAGTGGAGAGAAACTCAACATAATTCCTCTAAAATCAGGAACAAGACAAGGTTATCCACTCTCTCCATACCTCTTCAATATCGTACTTGAAGTTCTAGCTAGAGCAATAAGACAACAAAAGAGAATCAAAAGCATACAAATTAGAAAGGAAGAAATAAAACGTTCACTACTTGATGATATGATACTTCACATAAGTGACCAGAAGAATTCTACCAGGAAACTCAAACAGCTGACAAACACCTTCAGCAAAGTGGCAGGATACAAGATTAACTCAAAAAAATCAGTAGCTCTACTATGTATAGAAAATAAAGGGGATGAGAAAGAAATCAGAGAAACACCATGCTTTACAATAGCCACAAACAGCATGAAATATCTTGGGACAACTCTAACCAAACAGGTGAAAGACCTGTATGACAAGAACTTTGAGTCATTAAAGAAATTAAAGAAGACACCAGAATATAGAAATATCTGCCATGCTCTTGGATAGGTAGGATCAACATAGCAAAAATGGCAATCTTACCAAAAGCAATCTACAGATTCAATAAAATCCCTGTAAAAATCCCAGTACAATTCTTCACAGACCTTGACAGGACAATTCTCAACTTTATATGGAAAATCAAAAGACCAAGGACACCCAAAACAACCCAGTACAATAAAGGAACTTAAGGAGACATCACCATCCCTGAATTCAAGCTCCACTATACATCTATAATAATGAAAACAGCTTGGTACTGGCACAAAAACAGACAGGTAGACTAATGAAATAGAATTGAAAACTCAGATATTAATCCACACACCTATGAACATCTGATATATGACAAAGAAGCTAAAATAATACAATGGAAAAAAGAAAGCATCTTCAACAAATGGTGCTGGCATAACTGTTTTATCTGAGATAAAGTTCCAACCCCCTAGAAGTTGAAGATTTACCTCCTTAAGAAGCCAAAAGGGTTAAGACTGGGCTAGTTTAACCCACAGAAACAGTTGACCTGAACAAAGGGGAGCTCTTGGCCCCCAGAATGATGGCTGGGTGGACAGCACAGGACTGATCCAGACGCCCTGAATGTGAGTGTCAGTGAGGAGGCCTAGGTAATCTATGGGGACTTGGGTAGTAGATCCCAGGCATACAAATGGACTTTGGCTGCCCATCTCACAATGGATGCTCTCTCAGTCTGGACTCTTGTGGGAGGGCCTAGGCCCTGCCCCAGATGAAATGACAGATCTGGAGATCCTGCATTAAAGGTCTCATCCTCTCTGGGGATAGGAATGGAGATTGGGTGAGGTACTGGGGGACCTGGGGGAGAGGGGAGGGAGAGGGAGCTGGGATTGACATGTTAAGCAAGCTTCTCCCTAACTTGGAAGAAAAAAAGAGGCCAATTTGGATACCAAGATTCCTGTGATATAATTCTTATGTCCACACGTGTGTCTACTAGACCTTTAATGATGACATAATTTATTAATACTTTTAATTTTGGTCTCTGCTCATTTGTAGCAGTTTGCAAATATACTTATTTGTGATTTATTTCTGACTCATTTGTTCTCACTTTTTAAAAATCCCTTCTATCACACCTGTGCACCCAGCTCCAGGTGACCTTGGGTCCTCCTGGGGACCCATTCCCTGCCCATCACCCACTCCCTCAATCTTTTGGGGGCCACTCCCAATATCGAGAGGACCTGCTCACACAGGAAAGATGGGAATCCTTCCAGACCCCAATCCTGGCTCTCCCCACACCTGCATGTCTGGCTTCAGGAAAAAAGGAGATCAGTGGAGACAGAGAGAGAGACCCCACCTGCTCCCACTGGAAGATGGGATGGGAAGACAACAGTATAAGAACACACTCAGCAATAGAAAGACGAATATGACTCCACCAGAATCTAGAGACTCCACACAAACAAGACCTGAAAAGCACAACATAGATGAAGCAAAAGAGGCAGACCTAAAAAGTTATTTTATGAAGATGATAGAAACCCTCAAAGAAGAAATGAGAAAATCTCTTAAAGAAATAGAAGAAAAAAACAAACAAAAATTACATAAAATGGGGAAAAAGACAAACCAAAAAATTCAAGAAATAAAAGAATCTAAAGAGAGCCAAGACAAAACAACCAAACAAATGAAGGAAACAACTCAAACAGTTGAAGGCTTGAAAGCTGAAATAGAAACTATA